TGGCCACCGCTGGCTGCGTGACGCTGGCCGCCCCCTCACTGTCAGGTCGGGGCCCGGGCTGCGGGTGTCTGGTCTGTGTCCTCGTCCGTGTCCAGCTGTCCAGCCCGCAGGCACCCATCGCCCCGGGGCCTCGGGGCACCCTCCCCTCCAGGGGCTTCCAGGCCAGTGGGCGGGGCAGAAATAGGGAGCCGACCGTTTTCCTGGGCCGCAGGCCCCCAGCCGGGGAGACTGGGGGGCAGGCCGTGACTTGTGGGGAGCCCCGAGGGGCGTCTCCTGCTTCTTCATTTTGCAAAACGCGAGCGAGGCCCGGCCGGCCCAGAGCCGAGCAGCGGCCCAGAGGCCCTGGGGCAGGAGGCGCCCTGGGACCCCGCGGCCGGGTCCCAGGCGCCCAGAGCAGAGCGGGGGAGGCTGCTGCCTAACCTTCTGGAGGCATCTGTGTGGCTGTCCCCAGCAGAAACCAAGTGGCCGGGCTCCCTGAAACCGCCCCCCAGGCAGGGGGAGGCAACCAGGGGACAGTGGGGCGCCCTGCGTATGGCGGGTGCCCGGGCTCGCGGCCTCTCCCGGCTTCCCGGGAGCCCTGCCTGCTGCGCTCTGGACCCTCTGCTCAGTTCCCAGCAGCTGGAGGTTCTAGAAGACACTGCACATGGGACTGAAGGTCAGAGCGCCAGGCGGTCCCTTCTAGCGGCCACTATCCTGCCTCGGTTTCCCACAGCCCAGCCCAGTGAACAGGTGCGGGGCTACCCTCCGGGCCCAGCCTTCCTGTGACGTTCAAAGGCCCGTCTCTGCCTGACTCCAGGCTGCCTGGCCCCCGTCACCCCCTTGGGCGCTTGCCCGGCCAGGCCGGCTGCGGCAGCCCCCTGCTCCCTCCGGCTCCCGGGACGGACAGCGGTCCTCTGATACTGCCGTTCCTACCCCACTCCAGAAGCCGGGGGGAGGCGTCCCTCGAGGGGCCTGGAAGTGGGGCCCCATGACCTTGCCATGCTCCCCAAGCCCCTTCCCGTCCTTCCTCCAGATCCAGGTCTGGAGGGACCCGGGGGAGCCCCATGCCCCAGAAATGCCTCAGCCCCCGCAAGCCAGGCAGGTGGTACCTGGGTGAGGCCCTGCTCGCCTCTCCTCTGGCTGCAGAAGGGGACGTGGCCACCCCACCGTGCACCCAGCAGTCTCCTGAGGGCCCGAGCTCCGTCCCCAGGTCCCTCACCAGGACACTGCCCCGGCAGCTTCCCCACCAAGGCCTTTATGGCTCTCAGTTGTGCCCAACGGCCGCCGTGAACCCTGCAGAGACCGCCCCACCCACGGGGGACCCTGCGCCCCAGCTCCAGGCCCGGCACTCGGAGCGTGGGCCACGTGCACGTGCCCATTCCAGGCCCCCAGGCCCCTGCCCTGCTTCTCCCTGGACCCCGGGGGTGCCTGGCCCCTTGGAAGTTGGAGGGAAGCCTCCACAGCTGGCACCGGCTCCCCTGGGCTGCGCTGTGCACAGCTGAAGGCGCCAGTCCCACGAACGCACCTGCAGGGTAAAACGGGGTGACTCTTAGCTGGGCGGGGTCCAACCCGGCATCCTCCTCCTAGAAGCCCCTGCCCGGGAGTCCTCACAGACCCCAGTTCTGGAAAGTTGCGTGGCACCTGCCAGCCCAGCCCCTTCACCCCACCCCCTCTGAGACGGACCGGCACGGGTTGGGGCGCGCCTTGTAAGGCTGTGACTTCAAGGACACCAAGCCTGACTGCCCAAGGACCCGAGCACCTGAGACTGGGGAGCTGCAACGTGGGGTCTGCTTCTGCTGCTGCTGCTGTGGGGGCCGCGCGCCCCCTGCTGGTGGAGGCCTGAAACTGCGCCTCACCTGGGCTGAGAAGGTGAGGGGCCTGGCCTGCAGGGGACCCACATGCCACCCTGCCGCCTGCCCTGGCCCAGCCCCAGCCCCAACCTTGCTGGCGTCCCTGAAGAGGTGACTTCTGAGGTGGGCCCCCGGGGGAATCCAAGAGCAACAAGCACTGCTCTAAGCACTCTGCTCGGGACGCCTCCTCCACCCACGCGTGGGCTGTCTCCTCCAGTCAGGGCCCACAACCCTATCTCGATGCAGCGAACGCCCTCGTTCGTGCCTGCAGCTCAGGCCGGAGCCCCAGACCGCACCTGCCTGCCGGCCCGTGTCTCCGCCCCCTCGGCCCGGAGCCCCGGCAGGTCCTGCCCGAGAGCTCGGCCGCCAGTCCCCCGCCCATCCCCGCTGACAGCAGGCAGCCCCCACCGCAGGCCAGGCCCAGCCCGTCAGGGCGCCTGTCGGCTCTCCCTGCCGAGGTGTGCAGAGCCCCGCCCCGCGCGCCCTCCACCGCCGCCTCCGTCCCAGTCCGCGCCCCCCGCGGGGGCTGCAGAGGCGCCCTGCACGGCCCCCACCCCCGGGAGCACACCTTCCAGAACACAAGGCAAGCTCAGGGCCCAGCGACGGCGCGCTGTGCAGAGAGCAAGGCCCACGCGCTCGGCCGGTGTGCGGGTCAGGTACCGGCCCCACACACCGGTGCCACAGGCCCTCTCCCACGCCCGCGCACACACGCGCGTGCACACACACAGCACTCCCGAGCCTTCTGATGCTGGCTACATGAGGGCAGGCGATTCTGTGGGCGCGCTGGCCCAAGCTCCTGGCCCAGAGCCGAGCACACAGTAGGTGCTCCGTCATCTTTGTGGGTCCCAGCGAACTGCCCAGGTTACGGCCCCTCCCATTCAGACGCCCTCCGGCCCCGGGGATCCGGCCGCCCTGGGATGCCCACAGGCGTTGCTCCCCTCCAGCCCCGGAACCAGGGCCTGCAGGACACTCCGAGGTCTGGGCCTCACCCGGACTCAACTGCCCCCCGCCCCGCCCTGCCGCACACCGCTGTCCCCGCCCCATCTCTAGAGGGCACCCCGTCTCTAAGTGCCCCACGCGTGGGCCTGTGCATGCTGTTCCCTCCACCCTGCAGGCCTTCCTTCCCTGGGGATCCGCAGTCATGAGCGCCATGCAGGCGTCGCCGGCCCCGGGAGCCCCTTCCCCCGCCCACGTCGGGCCCCCCAGGCAGCCCCGAGTGCCCGGGCCCAGCAGGCCCTCTCTGAGGGGCCGCCACTGTGCTGGCCTGGGGCGGGGTGGGGCGGGGATGCTGGGGCGCGCGGGTCGTGTGTTGAGCTGCCCAGTGGGCGGGTGGGCCACGCGGCCCGCAGCCGCGGCTGCTTGCTCTGGCAGAGGAGCGCCCGCCGTCCAGGGTTCCAGGTGCCCGTCTGTGCTCGGGCAGGCTGCTTTCCCATGCTGCCCTGGGCCAGGAAGCTCCCGCCCTCGCCGAGCCGGCTCCTGACGAAGAGCCAGGCCGGGCCCGATCGTCTCTGCTGCGGTTTCACAACCCCCTGGGCCCGGCTCGACACAGGAGGAAGGAAGAGGTGAGTAACCCTAAGCCTTCCTGTCCCCACGCCAAGGGCTCTGGCCTGGCTTGCCCTGACGCCCTGGGGGCCGGCTGCAGGCTCCCACCCCAGGAACCCCAGAACCCCAGGAGGAGCCGGGTGATGCCCCAGCCCCCTGGCCAGGCCTGAGACTTGGCCCGGAGGCTCTGGAGCCTCCTGGGAACCGTCCCTGGTCCCTGTCCCCACAGAGCATGGAACCACGGGCTCCAAGCCTCCCCACAGCAGCCGTGAATCTAAGGCCCCTGAGACCGCTGTCCCCACCTGCACTCAGAGCAGCCCTCCCAGCAACGCCCGGCTGGGTCACTGTCCCCGCCCCGGGCTCTCTTGCTCTCAGTATCTCTGGGACTGGCAACAAACGGGACACCCTGTCCTCAGGCACAGACACCCACCCCCCTGTGGCCTGCCGGGACTGGAAGATTCCGCGCGCACAGGTCCGCTATATAGATGGGCGGGGCCTGAGCCACCCTGGCTCCGGACTTTGGCCGGCCCTCCCGCCTCCCCAGGCACCGCGGGACCTGTGGGACGCAGACATCCCTGTCACGCCAGCAGCCTTCGGGTCGGTCAGGGGAGGCTCCCAGAAGCGCTCAGTCTCCCTGCCCCTCCTCTGGCTCTCTGGGGCCCCTCCCCGCCCCTTCCCTTCCCCCTCCGCTCCCCCCCCCTTCGCCACCCCATGCCCAGACGGGACACCTGGTGCTGCTCAGAGGCTAAGTCCACCTCCCATGCCAACCTGGGGGAAGGGGGAGCGCAAGCCAGGGCAGGCCAAGTCAGCCCAGGAGGGCGGGGCGCACGCAGGAGGCCGGGCCCTGGGTGGGCCTGCAGGGGGCGTGTCAGGCCCAGCCAGCTGGCGGGAGCGAGGGGGCCAAGTACAGCAGGGGTGTCCCTGAGAGGGTGGGTGTCCCCGCCTCTCAGGGAGGACCGGCGTCTCCGGTCGGGCCAGGTTTGCCCCGAGCCGAGCCGAGCCCCGGCCGGGCCAGGTTTGCACTCACCAGGTAAGCTCACTGCGCAGACGGGCCGGGCACCCGGGCTGAGCCCTGCCCAGCCAGGAGCCCCTGCCCTGCCCCTCCACTCCCCGCGCCCCGGGACGGCTGGGCAAAGCTGTCGCCCTCCTCACAGACGCGGGCTCCGAAGGCCACCCCAGGGCCCCACGGTACAGTGTCCTGTTAACTTGGCGAGACTCTGCAGAGGGGTCCGTGAAGCCACGCAGTCGGGTTCCAGCGATGGGAGTGGGGAGCAGGCAGGGCGCTGCAGCCGCAGGCGAGGCCCAAACCAACCGCACGCCGTCAGGAGGCACCCCGAGCGGCAGTCAGCACCCGCCCCCCAATTGCCCGCCCCTGCCTGTGGGGTGCTGGGGCCCTCCTGTGGGGGCCCCCTGTCCCGTTCCATGGGGGCTGTGCCCAGACACCGGGGCGCATTGTGGAGGGAGAGGGCCACATGTCCCACTCCCCAAGGGCAGGGCTGGCCCCAGGTCGCAGACTGGAGAGCTGGGTGGGGGTCCCACAGCACTGCCTTCTCCTGGGCTGCTCCGCCAGGCTGGGCACCAACCCTTGCCGGTGACTCCGGTGACTCAGCACCCTCACCTGGTACAGCAGGACTTTTACCCCCTGCCAGGTCCGCCAGCCTCTGACTTGGATCCCGGCGGGCGAGGCCTCCTGCGGCACCGGCCCAGAATGCAGGGAGCTGGGGCCCCCCGGGGCCAGGGCGCATCCCCTGCCCAGACGGGTGCCCTGCGCCAGCCCTGGGTCCTCCTGCTCACCTACGCCCTGGCCTCTGTGGAGCTCGTCTGCCTGTTCATGCAGTTCTCCGTCCTGCCGGTGAGTGCTTGCGGGTGGCCGCCGCCAGCCTGCCCTGAGGTCCCTCTGGGTCCCTCTCGCGGCCCATCTGCACCGCGGCGGCCAGGGCAGCGGGGTAGGACGCCAGATGCGGCCAGCCCCTCTCCCTAGGGCCCCGTGCCACAGTGGAGCTGAGTGCCTCCTGACCCCCCACCTGCACCTTCTGGACTCTGGCGGCTGGGCCAGCCCGGGGGAAGGGCCGTAGGAGGCCACAGCGCTCACCGCTTGGCTCCCGCCAGCCCAGCTGCTACCTTTGCCCTACCGATGCCCCGCCCACACACCTGTCAGCTCTCTCTCCAGCTGCGCTCAGGCCCCTGCCGGCCCCTGACAACCCCTGCCGCGCCTCGAGCGCTGCCCTCCATCCCCGGCCCCAGCCGGCCAGCCCCCGGGCAGCGAGCCCATGCCCCACGTCCTGTTCTACAGCACCAGACGGAGCCTGTGTCCTCCGCCAGGGCGCCAGGGCGGCACTGGGTGCACCTCGGTCCTCTGCTGCCCCCCTGCTCTGGGCGGGGCTGCGGCACTAGCCCCTGGGCACTTTCAGAAGCGCCTCACCTGGGCGTGCGGGTGGGAGGGGGAGGGGTGCCGCCCACCTCTGTCGCCATTCCAGCATTGGCTGGGGGCTCCGGGCCAACGGGTGGGCCCACCCCCGCCGCCGCTGGCCCAACCCACCGCCACCACACGGCCTGGCCCTGGCCGCCTCCCCTCCTCCGCAGCCAGGCCATGATAAGGGCTCCTCAGAGGGGGGTGGGAGTGATGAGCAGGTAAAACCCTCAGAAGAGCCGGGTGCGCTCTCGGGGGCAGGCCCCGCATTCCTTTGTTCCACAGCGCCCACCGCGCACCTGCTGTGAGCCCCCTGTTCCCAGAACTCGGAACACAGCAGAGCGCAGCATGGACTGACGCGCTGGCGCTCCACTGCGCTGTGCTGGGGGGCGGGGCAGGGGACAGCGACGCCCACCCACACGCAGGGACACCAGTTAGACTGCGCTGCGGGAGAGGCACGGGGCGGGGGACCGGGGGTGCCCAAGGCTGCGTGGCGGGATTGGGGGCCACATGGAGCAAAGGCTTAAAGGGGACAAGGCGCGAGCCCAGCCAGCACAAAGGCCCAGGGGCAGCAACGAGGCCTCGGGGACATGGACCCGCGGGAGTGGAGGCGGGAGCGGGGCGCGGGGTCTCCGGGGGGCGGTGCAGGGCAGGAGAGCGGCTGGGGTCGGCCTGTGGTCAGGGAGCTGCTGAGGGATGGGGCGGGGCACGCCAGGAAGAGGGGCGTCAGGTGGCACTGGGGGTCTGGACCTGTACCCTTGGGAGGGAGACGAGAGCCGTTCTGGGATGCTGGGCGGAGAGCAGGAGACAGTTCAGGACAGAGCGGCTGGGGCTGGGGACACCATCGGCCCGGCCTCCGCTGCACAGCCAGGAGGCTCTTGCGGGACACGCGGCCGTGTCCCTCGGGGCTCTTGCCAGGCTGGCCTCCCCGGGGGGCAGAGGTGGAGGCCAGAGGTCAGATTTCGGGGGGGAAAAGCAGGAGGGTCCAGAGCAGCTGGGACCTCGGAGGAGGGAGGGGAAGGAGACGCTGACGCTCGGTGGCGGGGCAGGAGCGGGAGCCCGATGGGGATGGGGTGGGGCAGGGGGGGCAGTAGGCCAGGCCGCCCTTCCGAGGGGCCCTGCGGCCAAAGCAACAAGGGGGGCAGGGAGGCGTGAGAGAGGGCAGGGCTTGGGCGCTGACAGGAGAGCAGCGGGGAAGGGAGGCCTTCCCAAGCCGGCCCTCGAGGGGGCCAGAGGCTGCTGCGGTGGGCGGGGGGCAGGTGGGGACAGTGGGATGCGGGACAGCGAATGGACTCGCTAGGGTCACGGGCACCAACTGTCCCAGTGCCCCGAGGACAGGCAGGCAGCCGGGCCCAGCTGCCCGGGCCGGGGGAGGAGCAGGCGGCGGGCGGGGAGGCAGACAGCCCGGGACCCTGGGACAGACGGAGCCTTGGGGAGGGGGGCGGGCCAGAGACGGAAAGCGTGCGGCGGCCATCCCGGACGGAGCTTGGGGGGACACGGGGTGGGCTCGGGGACACGCTCTCCCCATTCCCTGGGGCTGCAGTGACAAAGCACAAAATCCCGGCGGCTGCGAGGGTCAGAGACCTACGGCCTCACAGCCCCGGGGGCCCGAAGTCCGAATCTCGGCCCTGCCGGCCCCCAGGTGGAGCCCGGGGGCGGGGGGGGGGGTTCCCCACAGCTTCCAGCCTCTGGTGGCAACAGGCAGGCCCTGGCTGTGGCCGCGTGTGTATCCACACGCCCCTTCACGCAGGACACAGTGGCGCTGGGCTGGGCCACCCCAATGGCCTCCCTGTAACGGTGCCACCTCTGGAAAGACCCTACTTCCCAGTGCGGCCACGTTCTGCAGCACTCGGGGTTACAAAGTCAACATATCTTTGGGGGGGATGCAATTCAACCCCTTCTAAGGGGGATCCCCGGAGGGGCGTCCGGAGCTCCAAGGGGAGGGAGGGTAAGGAACGGCTACAGGAATGTCGACGTCACAGGGACCTTGCCCCACCTCCTCGGGTCCCCTGGAGGGACACTGGTTGCTGCCTTTAGCTCCCCAGACCAGCTCCCTGCAGGAGCGGGCCCCGGGTCCTGCTGGGGAATGGGCCGCCTCCTGTAGGTCACCGGGGCACTTGGGGACATCTCCTGCTGGCCTGCAGCCACCGCAGCGTTGAGTGAATGGAGCCCAGAGGGTGGGGGCTGGGTGCCTTCCCTCCCCCACGTGAGCTCCGCCCCAGGGAGGGGAAGGAGGGCCGGCTGCAGCCTTCGCCGCGCGGGGGGAGCCCGCGTCCCCATCCAGGCTCGCTGCCGGGCGCTCAGGGACAGACCCACGGGTCCCTCCCAGCCCCTGCCCATGGGCCTCGCCTGTGTTTCAGTACCTGTCCCGCAGCCTGGGCCTGGACACCATCACCTTCGGCTACCTGCAGACCACCTTCGGCTTGCTGCAGCTGCTGGGCGGGCCCTTGTTCGGCAGGTACCCGGCGCGTCTGAGGGAGAAGACTCCATGGATGGGCCAGCCCCGCCGAGCGGGCCTACCAACGGCTCTGCTGGAAAAGGCCGTTCTGGGGCCTGGGGCCCTGACCCATTCCCCGCGCCCCAACTGCAGCACAGGCCTCCTCCTCCTCCTCCCGCCAACGCGGCAGTGGACAGACCAGAGTGGCGGGGACAGGGAGGGGGGCCAGACCCTCAGAGTGACTCCGCGGAGGGGTCCGCGAGAGGCTGGACGGCTTTCCCAAAACACGCACACCCTGCTCCTCGCCATCCCGCAAGTTACCCTCCCAGGGAGCGGGTGGGGGGGAGCACCCGTCAGGTCGGATACCCGAGGTCACCCACAGCTGCCCCTGTGGAAGGAGGGAGACCTGAGGCCCTGGCAGGAGGGAGGCCCAGCAGCCCACCAGAGGCCGGGGTCTCCCCCACGAGGGCCTCCCGGGAGCCCCTGCGGGAGACCCCGCAGTCCCAGGGCCGGGAGCCGGTGCCAAGCGGGGGACCCTGCCCCACGCGCGAGAGCCTCACAGGGGTGCCGCCCTGCAGGTTCGCGGACCAGCACGGGGCGCGGGCCGCGTTCACCGTCTCCTTCCTGGCGGCCTCTGCGCTCTACCTGCTCCTGGCAGCCGCCTGCAGCCCGGCCCTGCCCGGCGTGGCCTTGCTCTTCGCCTCGCGCCTGCCGGCCCTGCTCATGCACACGCTGCCAGGTAGGGCCGCCCCGTTGGTAGGGACCTCAGAGCAAGACTGGGTGTAGGGGGGTGTGGGGGCGTGGCCTGGGGCCGAGTGGGACCGGTCAGGGGGCAAGGGTGGTGCGGAGGTGTGGCCTGGCAGGTGAGGGCAGGTCTGGGGTGCAGGGGACTGTGCGGGGCTGTGGTCAATGGGGAGGGCCAGGCAGGGGAGGCAGGGGCGGGTGGGGGCGTGGCCCGGTCAGGCGGAGGGGCGAGGGGGCGTGCCCTGGGAAGGGGCCGTGCGCTCAGCCTCTGCTTCGCCCGCAGCGGCCCAGATGGTGGTCGCCGATCTGTCCACGCCCGAGGAGCGGCCCGCGGCTCTTGGCCGGCTCGGCCTCTGCTTCGGCGTCGGCACTATCGTCGGCTCCCTGCTCGGCGGGAACCTGAGCGCGGCCTGCGGGTGAGTGGCGGGGCGGGGACCGGCCGGGGGCGGCCGGCGAGGGCGGTGGGGGTGCTGGCCCGGACGCCGAGGCTGAGCGGGCTCCGCCGCCGCGCTCCGGGCCTCGGTTTCCCCGCCTGCACGCCCAGCGGGCTGCGTCGTCGGGCGCGGGCGCGTTGCCCGGTGGAGGCGCCGGCAGGGCCGTGCGTGGCCGGCAGGGGGCGCCGCCGCCCCGCGCAGCAGCTAGGCCAGGTGCGGGCGCGAGTCCCTTCAGGTCGCTGATCCCTGGGCGGTCCCAGGCGGGGGGGACCCGCCCAGCCGGACGGATACTAGGGAACCTAATTTCCTAAAGGAAACCGGAAGGCAGGCCCTGGGGGCAACGTCCTGGGATGACTGGCCCTGCCCCCGGGGCCCTGCGATGGGGACCCTGCGCCCCGAGCCTCTACGTGGGGCGGGCGATAGCATCTCGTGGGCGGTGTAATCACCGTGTGTGTGACATGAAGGCCTCCATCGCTGTCCCCACACACACGCACACACAGCAGTCCAAGGTCTTCCCGAAGCTCCCGCACGGGGCTCCCGCCCTCCCAGCGCTCTGGGCCCGCGGTGCGGGCACGCAGAGCCGGCTGTGCCGGCGGCCTGGGGACGCCTCCCGGCGCAAGGGCTAAACCGGGGACCTGGGATACCTGGCCCTGGAGAGTCCCGGCCTGGCTAGGACGCAGACCGTCCTTCCGCTGCCGGAGACCCGCACCCCTATGCTGCCCCACCCCCATTTCTCCCTTCCCAGAAGCACCCCAACACCCACTCACAGTCAACTTTCTTCATAGGCGTGATCTTGCCCCTCACCTGCCTTCAGGCCCAAGTCCTTGGTTTTGGCCTGAGGGGTGGCTGCCGGGCCCAGCTGCGGGTGCAGGGCCCTGCCTGCTTCCGGACCAGAGGCCCTGAGCCGGCCCGTCACCCCGACCCCCACCCCCACCCCCACCCCCACCCCAGCGCTGCCTGCTCAGGCCTGGGCGAGCCGCCCTGGGACAGCACCCAGGAGAGGAGCCCGCCTCGTGTCCGACCACACGGACCGGCACGCATCCGCCACGCAGGCTGGCACGCACCCAGGACAGCGGAGCGTCGGGCCGACACCTGTGTTGGCACCTGGTCCCCCATCTTGGGCCCTATGCCAGCCGCCAGGCCTCTGGGGGACTCAGTTTCCCCAGGCTTCTGAGTGCCCCAGACCAGCCCCCACAGTGGTGGAGGCCGCTGGGTGATGGCTGAGCCCCAGGGACTGGGGACACAGTACCCCAGTCACACAGTGCCTCCCTCTCCGGAGGGAGGTCCTGGAGCCCACACCCATCCCCCGCCCTAGCGTTCACACCAGAGCCTGGGTGTCGGGACCCCTCCTCAGCGGCGCACTCGGGCACAGGCTCCCGCGCTGACGTTCATGCAGCACCTGCTGCGGCCCCTGAGGTGCCGGGCTCCGGGACCGGCGGCGAATGAGACAGGCCGCGGTCTCCGGGGAAGGGAGTGCGGCAGGGACTCCCGCAGCACCGTGTGAGCTGCGTGGTGTGAGAAGGGGCATGGCGGGGCCGCTGGGCGGGAGCGGAGGGGCAGGGAGGGGGCAGAGGGCAGGCAGGCCGCGAAGCCCTGCGCGGGCACGAGCAGGCTGGGGTCGCCCGGCGGCCAGGCCGAGGAGGCGTGGGCGGGGGCCGGCGCGGGAGCCCCGCGAGGTCGCACGGGCGCTGGTCCAGGCTGGACTGGGGCGGCCTGGGGAGAGAGGGCGCAGGGCAGGCCCTCGCTTGGCTCTGCTGATGGGCGGGACGTGTGTGTGAACGCGAGGCTGCGCCGGGCTCGGGCTGGCCCTGGGCCCTGCGGGCCCAGCTGAGACGCGAGCAGCCTGGGGCGCCAGCCAATGGGAGGTGGGTCTCCTCAGGCTAAGTCTTGTGGCCCTCAGGGCCCCCCGAGGGGACAGGCGGCTGGGTGGGGGAGTCGGGGCCGGGGGGCGGGTAGGGCGGGCTACGTCTCCCTGGGACATTTCCAGACATTTCCGAGTCCTGGGAGCTGGTTCAGGTGGGGGTGGGAGCAGGTGTCAAAGAGGAGGCACAGGGAGGACCAGAAGGGAAAGAGACACAGAATATTCTGGAAGCCTAGGGGCATGTGGGTGAAGGAGGGGAGGACCAGGGATTCCACTGGTGAGGTCTGCCTGCCTTCTCGCTGGGCGGGGGCCGAGGCTGACGCCAGAACCCGATCGATGGGGGTCAGCGGGAGGGGCCGTGTCTCCCCAGGGAGAGAAGAAAGGGGGGGCTGCGAATGAGGAGAAGGCTTCAGGGGGGCGCAAAGGGAGCAGGGCGGCAGGGGTCCCCACGCCCGAATGCCCCACCCACAGGGACTTTCTCAGCCCCTACACCGGCACCTTTCCTCACCTCGCCAGGTGTTCTCACCTGCGAAGCGGGCCCTCAGGCCTCGCTCGCTCCCAGGGTGCCGCGGCCCCCCCTCGCCAGCTCTGCCCCAGGTCCCCTGCTGTCACCGCCTGCCCCCTTCTCCCGCCCAGCTGCTGACCCAGAGGATACCACGTCCCTCTCCCTCTCAGCAGCTCCCAAGAGAGCCACCACCTCTGCCCTCTCCTTCCAGAACATTCCATTAGCTTCCCTTTTTCATCCCAAGATCGAAGGCACTTTATGTCCTTGGAATGTCCTTTGATGGGTGAGGATACGGAGGCCCCAGAGAGGGTGGCGCCCCCCACGGAGCTCTGGGTCCTTGTCCGAGGCCCAGGGGAAGGGGCTGCAGGGCCCCCCCCCCCTGCCTCCCCGCTGCCCCAGCCCTGCCCACAAAGCCCCAGCCACGCCCCCTCCCGGCGGGGGAGCCGGTGGAGGGAGGAAGCGGCCTTGGCAGCCACAGGCGGAGACACTGGTATAACTGGTTTGGGCTCCACCTGGAGCTGGGGCTGGGAAGCCTGGCTCACAGGTGGGGGAGGGGGCAGCCCTGGGACATGTGGCCCTGAGCCCAGCCCCTCTCAGCCTGGAGAAGCCACTGTCACACCCTCCCTGCAAGAGGGTGGTATGGCTGGGGCGGGGCGGGGAGGGGGGTGGCGCCCACCTGCCAGCCCACCTGAGCCGGGTCCTGGGGGGCAGGTTCCAGGCATTGGGGGAAGCGGGGAGCCTCCTGTCGGAGGCCGCTGATGGCGGCCTGACTGTGGGGGTCCCCCGCTGGCCCCCCGCTCTCCTTGCTCTGGGCAGGCAGGGCGGGCCCTGGGCTTCTGGGGTCTCCGGTGCGGACTGTGGGCCCGGGCAGGGTGAGGCTGCTCCCCCGGGCCCAGAGCCAGTGGGAAGGAGGCCCCGTCAGACCCGAGAAGGGCCTTAAGCCCAGAGCAAGCAGGAACGGGGGCGATCCCAGGTCCCCAGAGTCAGGGCTGGAGGAGGATCCTCCCCCCACTTCCGGGCCAGCCCAGCACGGCCCCACAGCAAGGTGTGGGCACAGCCGGGCCGCAGCCTGGGACCCAGGGGCTCTGTCCCCTGGGAGTAGGACACGGGCGGGACGCAGGCGGACGCCCAGCAGGTGGCTGCTTGTAGAGGCCAGGACAGTGTGCACGCTGGGCAGGGGAGGGCCCAGCCACAGACAGCCCCCCCCCCGCCCCAGCCAGGCAGGTTGGGGTCTCAGTGTCCGCGTGGCCTCCCGGGCACCAGCCGGCTGCTGGGTCACCGGCTCTGACCCCAGCCGGGGTCCTCTGCACCCCGCAGGTATTTACTGCCTTCTTATCAGGAGGGGGTGCGGGCCTCCCCGGGCCGCTGTCCCGGCCCTGGGTCTGGGTGAAGGCGCGGGGAACCCTTATCAGCCCGTGCGGTGCTGATGGAAGGCTTCCGGCTGGTGACGCCCGGGCTTCCTCTGTGAGTTAATGAGTAGGCATTTGGGGCTGTCCTGCATGGCCCTGGGACAGGGGTGACTCACCGACCTGTCAGCCCGGGCGCCGGCCCCACCCCGGGCTCGGGAGGCTCTGGGAGGCCGTGCAGTGCCGGGCCCGCCCGGGCGGTCACCGGCCCTGCGGACGACCCAGGGTCCAGGCACGAGGGAGCACACACTCAGGGCGCGGGCGGGGACGTCAGCTTAGACCCGAGACAGGAGGTCGGCCGTTGCAGGAGGGACCGAGCCGAGAGTGTCCCAGGCCGAGGGAGAGTCCCCGCAAAGGTCCCGGGCAGGCGGGCGCCTGGGGCCTGACTCAGGGCCCGTGGGGTCAGGGGAGTGTCAGGCGCTTGGGGCAGCGGAGGGCGGCCAGGAGCTCACCCGGACACGGCTCCCGGGCCTTCTTCTGGACCGGGAAGCCGAAGGGGGGCCGAATCAGGAGCCGCCCCGCAGGAGTTCAATCCCAGCGGGTGGGAATCCCGTCCACGGTCCTGGCCACGGTGTTCTGGCGGGTCGATCGCCTGGGGCAAGGTGGCTCCTCCGTCCCAAGCCCCATGTGGACGTCCCGCGACACTCCGCAGCCCTTCACGTCCAGGTGTCACACGAGGCGGGGTCCCAGCTGACCCCGGCCTGCCTGCAGCCAGGCCACGGGGCCCCGGCCACCAGCTGTTGCCTCTTGGCGCCTCAGAGCAGGTGGGGAAGGCAGCTCCGGCTCCAGCAGGGATTGCCACCTGCAGCCGGGCAGGGTCCGGTGGAGGGGACACAGGCGCCGGGCCCTCCCTGGGTGGGCGCACTCCAAGCCCGGAGATGGGGGCAGGAGGGGCGCCACGAGGAACCTCGGGACAGGCGGGCAGCCCCCAGGGACGGGTGCCGCCTTGGGGGTGTCCTGGGAGGGTGGCCCTCATTTGAACCTGAGGGAAGGGGGTCCCCACCCATGTGGCCACAGAGGGGGACAGAAGGGCTCAGGTGCCCTTCCGTGGCGCCCCTGAGGCGGGCCGAGCAGCCCCCTGTCCACCCTTTCAACCCAAAATAAAAGGGCGGGGGGACGGAGGCACCCGGAGTCGTGCCTGCCCTCGTGCTCGGTGCTCAGCTCGTGCAAAGGGCCCATTGGGCCCCAAGGCGCCGCCCGGCGACCCGGCACCACTAGGGTCTCCAGGGCAGGAGGCGCCAAGCCGAGCGGCGGGCGTGAGGCTGGAGGCGCTGGAGGTGAGGAGACCGTCCCCACAGGGGCCCAGGCTGGCCCTGCTTCCGGCCCCCTGCCCCCTCCTGCCCTCCCTGACGTCTCTCCTGAGAGAGCCGGAGGGCTCCGACCGGGGAGGACGGCCCCTGCTCCCTCGCAGGGCTCCCGCGGCCCTCGGGGTCCCTGAGCCCCCCGGTCACTGGCCACCACGCAAGGCCCGGTCAAGATATTCAGAGAAGCAGCCTGGCTCCCTGCCTCCGCCCCTCACTTGCCACCAGCCTCCCAAAATAGCCATCTCAGTGGCCGCCCCTGCTCCCCCACGTTTCCGGGGCATCTGGCAAAGAAAGCGGCTTTTGTCCCTGCCGGTCCCACCCCCGCAGTGACGTCTTGGCCTCGGAGGCCAGAGTGCTGAAGAAAGACCCCTTCTCTCCGGGGCCAGCCCCTCGGCCCCAGAGTCCCCGCTCACGTCACAGACCAGGTCCTGCCGGCCAGAGGAGGGGTCTGTGGGGCCCCTCAGGGGTCCACTGCCTCCTGACCCTTCTGCCTGCCAGTCCATGACCGGCCGGCCTGCTGACGGGCCCGTTTGTTTAGGACCCTGGCCAGTCAGAAAGCCTCAATGACCAGTCTCGTGGGCGGTGGGGGTTGGGGGTAGGGGACAGAGACAGGCTCCGGGAGCAGGGGCGGGGCCAGTGCACATGCAGGCGGGACAAGTGCCAGCACTGCCACCGTGTGAGCGCGGGCGGGTCCCAGCCCGAGAAACGAGGGCGGCCGAGGCGCCAGTCCCACCAGCTTCCCTGGTCCCACAGGAAACAGAGCCCTTCCCACCGTGGTTCCCCAGGGAGCTCTGCTTGCGCGCGTGTGCTGCCCGGTGTGTGCGTGCGAGTGCGTGCACACACGTGGGTGCACGCCGGCGCAGCCGCGGTGGGGAGGCGCAGGGGAAGCCCGCCCTCTGACCTCCGAGCAGGGCCGGCGGCGTGTGGAGGGCAGGGCCGCGTCCCGGGGCACGGGCATCCCGGCTGGGCCGACGGTGGGCCCTGGAGCGGTCTGGGCAGGCCCTGGCTGTCCCTGTGAAGTGGCGCCAACCTTTGTCCCCAGTGTCATGTCCCCCGGGGTTTGGCGCCAGGCCGCTCCCAGACCCAGCCGCCCTCAGAGGCAGGGTGGCCTCCGGCCGGCCTGTCCTCGGTGGGTCCAGGGCCAGGTTTCCAAGTGACGACTCAGGGCAGATGCGCTCCCTTAGAAGCGAAAGCGTGGGGGCGGGGCGGCAGGAGAGGGGCAAGGGGGCAGGTGGGGACAGAGAAACGAGAGGCGGGCGTGACCCCGCCGCGCAACCTGCCGGGGATGCTGCGTAGAACGGTGCGCTTGAAACTGACATGACCTTATTAACCAATGTCGCCCCCAGTCAATTCAATTAAAAATAACTCTCACCTGAAAAAAGGCGTGGACGTGGAGGGGACAGTCTGGGCCGCAGCCCTGGGTGGGGGGCAGGCGGGAAGCGGCCTGAGGGTGCTGTCCTGGGTTTTGTGGGGCCGGCCCCCTCCCCAGGTCCAGCGTGCCTGTCTCCCCAGGAAGCGGGACTGGGACGGGGACTGCTAGGCCCCGACGAGGCCACGCGGGCCCTGTGTGACCAGCCCTCTCCTGCCAGGATTCAGTGCCCGCCCTTCGTGGCTTTCGTGGCCAACCTCCTGGGAGCCGCCCTCAGCTTCACCTGCATCCCCGCCAGCACCAAGGGCACCGGCGCCCACGGCCAGGCCGCCCCGGCCGGTGAGTGCCCCCAGGGTCGCCGCTCCCGGCGCTCCGGCCCTCCGGCCAGTGCCCCGGCCCTGGGCTGGGCCTGCCCCGCCTTGCCCTCCCTGGGGTTCGCTGCGGGGCATCAGGGGCTTCCGTTCCCACGAGCAGTCGTCAAGGGCAGCAGAGGAAGAACTGGGAGAGCTCATGCCCGTGACAGGTGGGGGGTGGGCAGCGGCGAGGGGCCACCCCCGCCTCGTGAGCCTGGCCCCGGGGCATTCAGGCCCAGGGGCCAAGGCCTGACGGGCCCCTCGGCTGTCCCAGGTGGACCCCAGGCCAGCGTGTTCGACCTGAAGGCCATCAGCCGCCTGCTGCTGCGGCCCGGCATCCTGCCCGTGTTCCTGGTCAAAGTGATCTCCGGCTTCCCCTCCGGTGAGTCCCGGGCTGTCCCCGGGCAGGGCGGGCCTGGCGCGGCAAGCTCGGGGCCATGGGGACAGAGGCCTGTGCCCGGGGCCCCGCCCCGCCCCCCGGCCCTGCGCTGTCCGCTCCGGCCCGCTCCCGTCCGACCCCAGCGGGGCCGTATCTGGTCACACCTGTCCCAGAGGGGAGACAGACCCGGGGCCCGGAGGTGTGGTGGCTCCGTGTCCTTCCCCTCACTGCCGCTGCTCAGGCTCTGTCTCTCCTACTCTGCGTACCGTCCTGGCTGTGCGGCCTGTGACCCCCGTCCTCTCAGCCGGTCTGAGAGGCAGAGCCAGAGCTGAAGGCCAACAGCAGCTGGCCCACTCCTGAGAGCCGGCCCGCTGGGGAGGGGTGGGCCCTGAGGGCGTCCCTGGCAGCGGCCATCACGACCTTGGCCCCACCCCCGGCCCCCCCATGCCTCTGCACTGTGCCCCCCCCGCCCTGTGCCCCGCTGTGCCCCCACACGGAACGTCCTGTCTCCTGGCACCGCCGTGCTGAGGCTCCCGGACCCGGGGTGCGTGCCGAGCCACGTCTCTGAGCCAGTCGGACCCTCTGCGGCACGGGGGTGGAACCACGTCACCGGTCTCAGTGAAAGGGGTCTTTGAGGGCCACTGGTGGGCCCGGGGCCAGCTCCACCCACATGGCCAGCCCTGGGACCCCCGACTCTCAGCTGCCCTCACTGGGGTGCCTGCCCCGTCCGAGGGGCGCTTCCTGCCCCTCCCTGTTCGCCATCGCAGCAGCCCCAGGGGCAGGGCGTCCGGGCCAGACTCGGGGAAGGCTCCGTGGCCCGGCTGGCGCCTCGTGCCCGGCCCTGCACCGGTCACTGTGGCTGGGCCCCGGGCCTGTGCTGACCCGGCCGCCTCGCCCAGGGCTCTTCATGGTCATGTTCTCCATCGTCTGCATGGACTTCTTCCAGCTGGAGGCCACCCAGGCCAGCTACCTCACATCCTTCTTCGGGGTCCTCCTGATGGTGAGTGCGGGCGCCAGGCGAGGGCCAGGGTCCCCGGGCATGACTTGCGGAAGCTGCTGTGCGCGTGGCCTGCTGCCCGGCGGCCGCGCGGACGGGGTCCCGGGTTCACTGCGGATGCCTCTTAGCGCCCGGCAGCAGACGGGCCCCGGAGGGCGGCAGGTCACGTGGAGGGCGCAGGGAAGACCTGGGCTCTGCGTCCCGCCCGCTGGCCCTGTGACAGACCAGCGTCCCCCGCGCTCCGTGTGCCGAGCCTGCATTTCCGCGTTTGCCAGTGCAGAGGCGCTGGGCTGACGAGAGCGGCCAACACGTAGGGCAAAGCGCGTACGACAGCGCCCGGCACCGCGGGGACCCCATCCAAGCAGCGCGCTGGCTCCGGGGCCCTGCCGTCACCGTGGGACACCCTGAGCTGGCCGCTCAGCGTCAAAAACTGCCCTGGGAGCAGTCTAAGGGGTCCTGTCGGCAGCCCCCGGACCCCCCGCCCCAGGCCCCACCCAGCCCAGCTCCTCCGGGGCATCTGGACCCAGCCCTGGGGCGGGGGGGACAGGTGGCGACGTGCTGCCGCCACCAGGACGTCTGCCTGACAGCCGGAGCGCAGGAGGGGCTATTCTGGGACCTGCCGGGGCAGGGCAGGGGCTCCCGACCTCCCCGGAAGCTGCGGCATCCCTGCCGCCTCCCACACACCTGCTCCCCTTGCTCCTAACCCGGGACTGGTGCAGACCCCGGCGCTAGGAGAGCCCCCGCAGGGCGCGGCCCCCTCCGGCCCCACGGCCGTGGGCAGGGTGGGGCAGGGCCTTGGCTCTGCCGGGGGCCAAGGCCACACTAGAGGCGCGCGAGACAGAAAACAACAGGAATAATAACACCTCAGAGTTGGAGCCCCAGGAGCCTTGACCTAAACGGCTGCTCCCGGCCTGCCTGGGGCGAGGGGACCAGCCTGAGCTCTGGCCTGGACCCCCCAGGCCCTGGAGACCGAGCCTGTGCACCCGAGGAAGAGGGCAGCCCAGAGCGGCCGGTGTGCCGGAGCCCCAGAGTGGGGCAGGGCGGGGTGGGGGGCTGGGTTGCGTGTGTGCAGAAAGAAAGGCCTGAGGCCACGTTGCTCAGGCACCTCCTCGTGCTCCCGCACCCCAGCCTGCCCAGGGAAGGGCTGGTCTCTGAGGGCCTGCGAAGGCCACCCCACGGTGGTCGAGCCTGCCTCCCACCTGGTCCCTCGCAGCTGGGCTCGCAGCTGGGCTCACACCTGGGCTCACACCTGCTGCTTCTGGCCGACCATTTCCTGCCCCACCCTGGGGGCTGCCTGACCCTGCCCCCGCCCAGTGTAGGTGGGGGCTGGGGGGCGCGGGAGTCCAGGTGGTCCTAACAGGAGGGGACAGCGAGCAGACCCCCCCCACTGTAGACCCTCCTGCAGGGCCTCCGCACTCGGCCCCTCCGCGCCCCAGGCACAGCTGCTGTCAGGGTACTAGGGGCTGGAAGGAAGGCAGCAGGGGGCGCTGTGTGAGGCGAGGCCCCGGGCGGGGCTTCACCAGAGCAGACTGCAAGCGAGAGGGCCTCAGGGCACAGAGGGGCTGCACGTGCGCAGGCCCTCAGGAGGAGCACACTGCACCCTGAGAGGAGAGACCTGGGCTCTGAAAGCGCCGCAGGGGGCGGTCTGCGCAGCCGAGAATGACCAGGTTTACTCGAGCACAGTGGGGCCGCAGGAAGGGGCCCCTCGGAGGCTGGGAGGGGGAAGCCTGCAGGGCACAAGCTGTGTGTAGAGGATCAGGAGGAAGGGAGGCCTGGGCACGCGTGTCAGCTGGACAAGTTCAGGCCGTTCTCAGTTGATACTTCAGGGCCTTGGCCTCTGTGTCTGGATGAGACGCTGAGTCCAAATGCGGACAAGGAGGGAGACAAAGCCAAGTCCCAAAGCAGGGTTTTCTTCTCAGAAGGACGTTTAGGGTTCTGATCTGAGGCAGCTTTGTTACAGCAGGCAGGGGCGCCGACCCGGGACACGCGGCCCAGACGGGCGCTGACCGGCAGCCTGCCCCTCCCCCAAGCCCAGGGCGCCCCACACTTCCTGCCTGCCTGGTGCGGGGCCTGAGAGGCCCAGATGGGCAGCCCCCCACGCCCGGGCCAGCCTGCCCTCTGAGTCACATCCCCAGTGGGCGTCCCTGGGGGGAGAGCCACAGGCGGGAAGGGCCGCACAGGGTCAGCGCCTCCTCTCCGACCAGCTCCTGGGGCGCAGCTGGGAGTGGAGGGCTCAGGGACTGAGGGGGTGGGGCCTCAGAGACTCTGCCCCCGCCTCTGGGGGCTCTGCCCGACCAGACCCAGGACCGGCTCTTGCTGGCGGGCGCCCCGCCCCGCCCAGCTCCGGGCCTCAGTTCATCCGGCTGCAGCCGGGGTGGTGGCCTCCCAGGGTCCAGTGCCCGCTCAGGGACGGCCCCCGTAGACAGGACCCGGTCCAGCCACCTCTTCTCCTCTGAGCCCCGGGTTCACAGGCGGGCCCTGCCCCCCCGCTGAGAGGACAAAGGGGCCGAGGGAGCAACGTTGGGGGGTGGGGACGCAGGGGGGCCAAGTGACACTGGAAGGGCCATCGCAGGACCACCAGGGTCCCCAGGCTCGGCCTCAGGGCCACACGGAGCACCTTCGAATGATAAAAGACGGTTTCTGCACCGTAAACCGTGGCCTGGCCCCCGCCCCCATCAGCAGGGAACCGGCCCTCCTCACGTTAGAGTGGTTATCACGCCTGAAACTGAAGAGACCAGATTGGCTGTGAATGCGACTGTGGGACCTCTGAGCGACTGGCCGTGCAACTGTGCGTGCCTGCGCGCACACGCGTGTGTATGTGTGCACACCTGTGAGCCACCCAGCCCCTCCCCCGCCCCCAGGGACGTAGGGCGCCCCCCCTTCTGCCCGGAACGGGTCACCACCGGGGCCGGGCTGCAGACGGTGCGGGGCCCCCAGCTGGGGCAGCCGTGGCCCAGATCTGCCTCTGTCTCCTCAGGTCACCCAGGGCCTGGTCATCGGGCGGCTGAGCAGACGCTTCTCCGAGGCCGCGCTGCTCCGGGCCAGCACGCTGGTCTTCATCGTGGTGGGACTGGCCATGGTGAGGGCCCCGCGGGGTGGACCCCCCCCAGGGCTGCCCTCATGGGGCCTCAGGGAAGGGCCTCCGGCCGCAGCCCCCTGCGTCCCCAGTCACCGCGGCCCCTGCTCTGTCCCGTGCCAGGCGCTGATGTCCAACGTCTTTCACTTCTGCCTCCTGATGCCCGGCCTGGTCTTCAGCCTGTGCACGCTCAACGTGGTCACGGACAGCATGCTGACCAAGGCCGTCTCGGCCTCGGACACGGGTGAGCGCGGTGCCTGCCCCCAGGCCCCGTAGGGGGCGGCCTGCCGAGGCCCCGGCCCTCCCCCCGGGGAGCCTGCCAGGGGGGCTCAGGGGGCACAGCGGTCCTGGCTTGGGGCAGGCTCTGCCTGGCCCACTGGGCGCCAAGTGGGGTGGGTGGCCTGGTCTTAGCGGGGCAGGGGGCGGGGGGCGGCTGCAAGAGGGCTCAGGTGAGCGTTCCGGCCGCCACGCAGCCCGGCTGGGCCCAGCCGGCCCCGCACCCAGCCCTGCAGACCAGTCCAGGCCAGTCCTGAGGATCCGAGGCGGACTTCCTGGGGTGGCGTCTGGCTTGGCTCTGAAGCCCGGCAGGGTTTCACAAGAAAGGAGGAGGGAAAGATGGCGCTCCAGGCCGGCCCCGGGGAAGCAGAGGCGGGAGGCCGAGTCTGAAAGGCTCTTACAGGAGCCGGTGCGGAAGGCAGCCCGGTGGGCGGGGACCAGGGCAGAGGGCCCGAGAGGGGGTGGGCTTCCCCCGACCCGGGCTGGCCCGAGCTGGTCAGCTCTTCCCTCCTAGAGCAGACCCGGCACCTGGGGTGCGTCGGTGCTTCCTGGGTGGGCGGGCGAGTGAGCGAACGCACACAGCTGATTATGCCTAGGAAGCCCCAGGCCTCCTGGGGGACACTGGGGTCCCTGGCCCCACAGCGCCCAGGCTCCGGCCCCCGCCCTCCCCAGGCCTGGTGCAGAGGCTCCCCCGGGCTCCTGGGGAGGCCTCCTGGGCGGCAGGGTTCGAGAGCCCAGGGGCCTCCCTGTCGGCCTGGCAGGGGCTGACAGAGGTCACGTGGCCCCGTGGGAACGGGGCAGCAGAGGACAGCCTTGGGGCCTCCAGAGCCTCCCAGACCTGTGGTTCCGGGGTCCTGGGAGGCCAGGCTGGGTCTGGAGGGCTGCCTGGAGGTGGTGGGCCAGCACTTCGGAGAGGCCCGAAGGAACAGGCCTGGAGGGTGAGGGCAGGGCCTGGCCTCCCAGGGCCGAGGCCCCACCCCCTACCCGGAAGGAGACGGGAGCTGGTTCCCAGCGCAGGCCTGGGAACCGCGACCGCAGAGGGGGCGGTAAATTGCTCCCCGGTGTCCGTGGGCGAGGGGAGAGGCTGCTCCTCCGTTTTCCCCAAGGCCTCGAGCCGGGGCGGGGCCTCGCCAGGCAGCTGCCAGGCAGCTCACCCAGCCAGGCCGTCCAGCTCTGGAGGCCGGGGCTCCGACCCTGCGGGCCCAGGCCCGAGCCAGCACAGGGCCCCGCGCACAGGGCGGGGCGTGGAGCCGGGTGTGCAGGCAGCCAGCTGGGCCCAGGGCGTGGGGTCGGAGGCAGGGGTGCCCCCGCAAGACCCTGAAGCCCTTCCCAGCCCTGGGGGGTGCGTTCCCTCCAGTTCTAGGAGGGCAGGGGGGCCAGGGGGATGCTGGGGCCGTCGTGGCCTGCCTCGCACCCCAGCCCTCGCCTGGCGGCTCCCCTTTGCTGCCAGGCCCACCTCCCCAGCGTCTGTCGGCCACCTCCCGGGCCTGGCCTGTGTCCAGGCCCAGTCCCGGCCCCTCTGTGCCTGGGAACCTTCTGGGGCAGGCGGAAGTGTCCAGTGTGGCCCCTCATGGCCGGGTGGTCCATAAGGAGCAGACCCGCAGGCCCTGGGGGAGGGTCCGGGGGGCAGGAGAGGCCTCTGTCACAGCCTGGGAGTGGGCGGCTGGGGCGGGGACGCTGAGGGACCCCCCCAGGCCTGACTCCCACCCCCGCCCCACAGGGACCATGCTGGGCCTCTGCGCAGCTGTGCAGCCGCTGACCCGCACCCTGGGGCCCACTCTGGGCGGCCTCCTGTACCGCCGCTTCGGAGTCCCCGTCTTCGGCCATGTGCAGTTCGCCGTCAACTTCCTTGTCCTCCTGGTCCTCTGGAGGCAGCCGGTGCCCCAGAAGACGGACAAAGTCAGGTGACCTTGGCTCCTGGGCACAGACCGGCAATAAATTCCCAGGACGTCTTCCGGTCTCGTTTCTGCAGGCGCCCGCCAGGCCTGCCTGCGTCTGGCTGGGCAGGAGGCCTCGCGGGCCAGGGATGGAGCCTGGGATGCTGGAGGGCTTCCTGGAGGAGGGGGCTGCCGCTGGGCCCCAGGGCTCTGCGGAGGGCGGAGTCACCCACGTTTGTCCTAGTGAGAGGCGTGCTCTGCCCCTGTGGGCTGTCAGCACAGCAGGGGACAGTGCCCTGCGCTGCCTCCCAAGGCGGCTCCACTCAAACCCCCAGGGACGGGGAGCGGGGAGCGCACCGCCCCCCACGGCCCGCCTCCTGCTCCAGCACCGCCCTGGTCCCCCCGCCCCCCCGGCAAAGCCCGCTGCCCGCAGGCCCCTGCAAATCCTCAAGGTGGTTCCTGTTCATGGAAGGACATGTTTTTCAGTTTTTTCAATCGATTGGTTTGAAAAAGAAACCTCAGTTTGTTGTCCCACTTATTGACGCATCCATGGGTGGCTTCCTGTACATGCCTTAACCAGGGACTGAACCCGAAACCTTGGCGCATCAGATGATGCGCTCACCAACTGAGCCACCCAGCCAGGGCTGCAGGTTTGTACTTTCTCCCCTCATTCTGCGTTGGTGAGCCCAGCAGGTAGACCAGGCAGCCAGACCGGGGAATGGGGGCGCACCCCGGCCCCCACACCCCGACCCTGGCCCTGAGGAGAAGGGACAGTGGGCAGGGAGAGGCCAGCAGCTGCTGTGGCCGATGGCCGGTGCAGAAAGAACAGCCGCAACCCGGCCCGCAGGCCCTGAGACAGTGGGGGCCGCCCCTCCCCGCGGGCAAGCTCTAGAGGCCTCGGACATCCGCAGTCCCATCTGCCGGGGCGTCGCAGGGCCAGAGCACACCTCCTGCCGGGCCCCGGGGGGACGGGACTCCCCCCCGACCTTGGCCGTCCGTCCCGTGAGCAGGAGAGGTCTCCAGGTGGGGCAGCACGGGGTCTACCCTGGGGTCAGGGGAACCCACCCCATGGGCACAGGCCTTGCTAACTGGTCATCCCGGAGACAAATGTCTGTCACAGGACGGTTCCTCCCCTGGACCCAGCTCCCGGCCTCCCAGCAAAGGGACGGACAGACAGCCACTTGCGGGTCTTACCCCGGAGCCCAGCCAGGAGGCCTGTGGCCGCGGGCCCTCCCCAGGAGCAGGGCGAGCCACTCATGTTAAGGCCCAATTTTTGTCCTTCATTCCCCTCCCCGCTGCCTCCCCACCCAGCACCGGTCCCCCACGAGGACCCCGAAATGAAGGCCGGGTCCTCACTCACAGACCTTGCAGGTGGGGGGACGCTTCCCCGAACCCACCCCGCGGGGTGGCCCTCGACACACCCTGTCTCTGTCCACCTCACTCCGGGCGGCAGGCGGAAGCTGCCATCTCGTCGGATTCCTCAGGCCTCTCCTCCACCCCAGGGCCACATCGTGGGCCACTCGGAGGCCTCAGCGTCCTGCCACACCACTGGGAATGCCACAGGCCTCCCGCTGCCCGGTGCCGCCCGCCTTGCTGGCCTGACATTGAGGGCGACCGCCGGCGGAGCCCGGGAGCGGGACCACCCGGGGCAGCCACGGCCCAGCTGGGCCGGGGCCAGGAGGGGGCAGGCGCCAGGGGCGGAGCCGGTGGCATGTGGGTGGGAGGGGGCAGCTGGAGCTGTTGGGTTGGGGGGGCGCGTGCGCTGACCTCTGCGGGGCCGTTTGGGAATGGCCTCCCGCCCAGAGCGAGCACTGCCGCCAACCCTGCCCGCCCCACTCACACCGGGAGTGGAAGTTAGCCGGGGCCCAGCGCCCAAGTACTTCCTGCCCTGGGAGGCTGTCCGGTAAGGAGGGCGCAGACCTGCCCATCCACTCACGGGAGCGCTTCCCCTGCGCCTCAGGCGACCCCGCGCCCCAGACGGTTGCCGCGCCTCCGACCCCCTCATTCCCCGAACGTCACTGCACCACACGGGCAGGTAGAAAAAGAACAGGTCCAGTGGTTTATTCGGAATGGCAGATGCAAAAACAAAATATTAAGACATACGGTTTGACGACAAATAACCATCAAAATAAATACATAGATAATCCAATAATTTAACGTGCCCGCGCAGCGGGGTGGGGCTTGCGGCTCCTCAAGGGAGGTCCCCATCTGCGGGGCAGGGACACGGCCCCAGCCTCCGTCCTCGCCGCGGTCAGCGGTGGGTTCCGGCCATCCCCTGCACCTTGTGGCTCCTGCCGGCGCGGCCCCGGCCCGACTCCTCCAGTGTGTGGCTCCTGCGGGCAGAGGAGGGGTCAGAGAGCTGTGCCCCGGCCCAGGCCCGGGTGGGCCGGGGTCCCCACTGCGGTTCCCCCAGGGGTCCAGACGCGACAGGTGCCAGCGACGGCTCTTGACGCGTGCCCCCGAGACGCCGCGACTGCGTAGCAGCCGGTCCCCTTTCGAAAGTGTCCCCGCTGCCCTCGACGGGGCGGGACCTCCCTTCCACCCCCGCCGTCTGCAGACCGGGCTGGCAGGGTACGCGCGCGGGCGGCACTCACCGCGGCGGGCTCAGGACGCGCGGGCCGTCCTGGGCTCGGGGGCCGCCGCGGGCGCGGCGCGCTCCCGGCGGCTGCGGACGTCCTGCAGGGCACGGCGGTTCTGGAAGTCGATGAGCGCCAGCGTGATGGCCGCGTTCCAGCAGCTCTCGCCCGCGCAGCGGAAGTCGATCTCCTTGCGGTCGGTGGTGACGATGGTGAAGTAGACGTACTTGCCCGTACGCTCCACGCAGTCCACCTTGAGGATGGAGTGGAAGCGCAGCTCCTTGGGGCGCGCGCCGGGGCCGGCGGGAAAGAGGCTCAGGCAGTCCGGCGTGAGCACGCCGCGCTTCTTCTTCCACAGCTGGAAGAGGCTGTCGCTGCGCTTCTCCAGCTCGCCCTCGCGCAGCACTTCGCCCGGGGTCTTCATGTCGGTGGAGCGCGGAGGGAACTGCGCGTTCCGGTGGCGGCGGCGAGATAATGCGGAACGGTGGGACCGGCGCTGAATTTATAAAGACCCCGCCCCGGCGCCCGGCCCCGCCCCGCCCCGCCCCACCCCGCCCGGGCGCGCCCCCTCGCGGTCACGCCCCGGATCTGCCTCGGCGCCCTGTTTCCTGAGACCACCTGTCGCTGCGCCCCCAGCCCCGTCACCCGGGCTGCCAGCCGCGTTCCTGCCCGCGGTCGCCCCCACCTCCATGTCTGCAACTCCCCAGGCGCCCCTCCTGGGACCCGGCGCTGCGGCGCCCCAGACCCATGGGATGACACGCGGTCCCCACCCCGCCCCGGACGTCGGCCCCGCGGAGGAACATCCGGTCCTGCCCGCGATGACTCACCGCCCGGGAGCCCCGGGAAGCGCCCGCAGCCGGGGTCGGCCCAGGGCGGGGGACGGGGGATGACCAGACCCCCACCCTCCAGGCGCCCCGACGCCGAGCTCTGCCCCTCCAGCGCCCTTGGGGAGGAAGCGGGCCCTCCCCACGCCCCGGTTCCTCCCACACCCTGGATTCCTCTCCCCTTCCCGGGGAGACCTCCTGGTGTCCCCGCCACAACCGGCCTTGACGCCCACCTCGCCCCCCCGGCGAGCCTCGTTCACCCCGAGAGCGAGTGCTCCAATCCCCACTTTTCTTGTCTGTAAGATGCGGACAGGAACACTTTTTTAGATTGGTAACACAGGGAAAGTGCTAGAACAGCTCCGCGTGGTGCTCGAGGAATGGGAGGAGTGGAAGTCGCTCCGGCCTTCCTCCTCCTGGTGCCTCCGGCCGACCCGGGACGGCCCCGCAGCGACAGCAGGAGCGAGTGCGGCAGGGCTCGCCTGGGCCCCGCGGGGCAGCGGGGGCGGCTGAGTCATCGCCTGCCAGCCGGGGCACAGCCGTTTTTTATTTACCCTCTTCCTTTAAAGGGTTTAACAGGAGCAGGAACTGATCGCTGACTTCTCCTGGTTCCCAGGGGTGGGGGTGGAGCCGGCCAAGGGGTTTTTCGGGGTGCACAGCCGCTCCAGGGCCCCCCACCAACGCCCACAGCAGCTGTGACCTGTGGGAGCTGCAGAGTGTGGGGGCGGCAATTTGCAGCGTCGGTGCAACAAAAAAACGCAGGTCTCCTGGTTCCGCAAGTATTAAGTTTCAAGACGGTGACAGCAAAGCGTCAAACCAAGTGCGGGGCCTTCTGGGTGCAGGCAGATGAAGCCAGCCCTGGGACCTGCCCTGCCCCCCACCTGCCTGCCCGCCCCCAGCCCTGGCTGCGTGGCCTCTGGGCCAGGCCCCGACCTCTCGGAGGGTGGTCCAGACCCAGGCCCTATAGGGCCGCTGTGAGGAATGAGGGGCTCCGCTGGCTCAGGAGAGGGGCCTGGGCCAGGCCGTACAAATGGCACCCAGCCCGCAGCTGCCCAGGGACCCCCACTCCGTGGGGTCCGAGGGCTGGTTGCGGGTGTGGGAGCGCAGGGCGCCTGAGTGGGTGAGACAGTGCCCGCGACTCCGGCCAGGGGTCCGGGGGCGGGGCAGGACAAGCGTGGGGGTCGGGGGCCAGCGTTCTGCCAGGGGAGGGCGAGGGGTAGCAAGTTGCAGGGGAGGGAACACAGACGCCCCTCAACACAGCCTTGCCAGACGGGGATGGGTGGAGGATACCCACTGAGGGGCCTGTGCCGCTGGCCTGGGTGGCTGTGGGCTGCTGGGCAGTGACATCTGGTCCTCGGGGCACGGGGACACCCGGAGGGGACACGGGGGACACTGTCCCCGGGAAGCCACCATGCCCCACCCCGGGTTCACTGCCTGCCTCCCCCTCCCAGGGGCTGGCCCGTGGGACCCAAGCTCCAGGCCGGTGCCACTCAGTGCGGCTGAGGCACTGCTGTCCTACTGTGCGCCAGTAGGCCTGGCTGGTGCCGGTGCTCCCAGGAGAGAGGAGCCCTGTGGGTACCTGGTGTATGTCCTGCGGGGGTGGGGGGGTTGCTGAGGCTGCGGGGCCAAGAGGACAGCTTGGGGGCTCCATGGGGAGGAAGGGGTCCCAAGGAGGAGACAGGGTGAGCGAGGGGCCCCGGGCCGGCAGGGCTCGGTGTGCAGGCGCCTGCGCAGCCTCTCTGTGCCCTGACCCAGAGACCGGATCTCGGGCCGCGCTCACCGGGCTCCACAGGCGAGGAAACGGAAGTCCCAGGGAAAGGGGACTGGGAGAAAGGTCGGCAGCCAGCGACAGCCCAGGCGGGGCTTGAAAGTGGCCGCGGGAAGAGGGTGCGAGAGGGCAGAGGACAGGAAGGCCGGGCCTGTCGGGGCGAGGTGCGCGCCCCCTGCCCCGCCCGGCGCTGCCCTCTGCCCCTTGGCCTGGCCTCCGGGGAGGGTGGAGGGGTCAGTGTCCTGGGGCGGTGCCCTGACAGGTGGCATCAGCAGGAGCTGGGAGGACAGGTCATGGTGGGATGGGAGGCGGGGAGACTCCAGGGAGAGGGCTGGTGGGAATCTGCCCGGCCCTCAACAGCCCCAGCCCCAGGGCCCAGGACCCACTGACCGGAGGCGGGGGAGGGGGCGGGGGCGGCTGGCTGGCCCGCCTGCCTCAGCAGCCGCTCCCACACCCTTGCCCCTGCCCGGGCCAAACCGGCAGGAACCTGGAGCGAGGGAGGGCCTGGCGCCCACCACCCAGGGGGCCCGGCTGACGGTCCCTGGGGCCCACAGCTGACCGCAATGCCCAGGTCAGAGCAGCGAGCTCGCACCCCCTCGTGAAGATCTTTGCGGGGGCGCCTCCCAGGGCCTCCAGGATGGCTTCCTACCGGGGATAGCACCCCGCGGGGAGCTGCCGCCCAGGGGTCCAGGCCACGCCACTGCTGGAAAGGGAGCCACTGGCGCCGTGTCTCTGGACCAGGTCTCCATCCCAGTCACCACTGGAGGTGGGGGCCGTGGTGGGTGTTTTTTTGGATTTCCAGGGAATGAGATGGCCTGAGAGCAGGTGACTGACTCACCCGCCGTCACCCAGGTGGCTGGCGGGGGTCACGTCCATTCCACGGCACCCCAAGGCCTGGGGCAGGAAACAGCCCCCGCCAAGCACCTCAGTAGGTTCTAGATCAGGGACATTTGGTAGCTGCTTCCCAGAACGGGGAGGGGGCCGTGCGAGGCTGCACCTCATCAGTGGCGCCCGACCAGGGCGGTCCGGGCCAAGTTTACTAATATTTACCCGAGGACATCTGGGATCTGGGACACTCACAGAGTCCAAGGGGGCTCCCCCCCGCCCGTCCCCAGTGGAGAAGAGGCTGGTCCTCAAACCTCTGGCCAGGGACACTTTCCACCCCATCCAGCTGGGCGAAGATGTCAGGCGGCCGAGAAGAACCAGGGTGCCTCTTCGAAACTCCCGAGTGAGGTCATTCCCACAGCAGTGACAACCCAAGCCCCGGGGCTGTGGCCCAACCAGCCCAGCCAACAGTCTGAGAGGAAGCCATGCGTCACTGCAGGAGCCTGGGGCTCGATACCACCCCTTCCTGGAGGAGGTGGCACTCAGAGCTCCCAGGCCTGGGAGCGCCTTCCCTCTGGCCTCCTCCAGGAAGCCGTCTTGGATTGCCAGCTCCTGCCAACTGTGTAAGCGCTGGGCCCTGGGGCCCCTGAGGCCTGAGGAGGCCCAAGCTGCCCGGAGCCATAGCCCCTAAGAGGCGGCCTGATGCGCCTGGTCTGAGCCCAAGAGCGCACTGGCCACAGCCTGTGACTCGGGCCTGCCCCCCCGCCCGGAAGCTGCAGCCTGGGAAAGTGAGAGGCCCCAGGGCAGGACGCGGGAGCGCTGTCACCACCTGGTTTCCGGTTCTCACTGTCAGCCTGGTCTCAGCCCCGAAGGTCAGGTCCCTTGAGGCTCCACGGGGCACCCTCAGCCCCTCCGCTGAAACCTGAAGGGCAGGCCCGGCTGCACAAAGCCCTGGGGAGCTGATGAGAAAGTGCCGCCGCTAGTGCACACCGCGCCCCCCCCCTCCGCCCCGCAGGCTCTGCTCGCCCCCCAGGACCCTGCTCAGAAGCTGCTACCAGCCCCTGGGAGGCAGCGTGTCTTATTCTTTGGGCCCAACACAGGTGCTCAGGAAATGTATTTGGAAAGAAGTGGACCTAAAAAGGATCTAACTCCCTGCCTAAAAGACCCAACTCTGGTCAGAGCAACAGAAGTCGGGGGAGACTGTCGGCCCGTTGGTAAAGCCAGAAGATTGGGGAGGCAGGGCCTGGAGTAGGAGGCTGGGGCCAGGTGTCCCCGAAGCTCAGCGGAGGGCCCAGGGCCCAGCTCCTGCGGACGGGGCCCTCTCTGGAAGGCCGGAGGAACGAGCGAGGAATGCAGGGACTACACGCAGGGAGGTGTGATTAGGTCAGGTGGGCCCCGGGCGCCGCCCCAAGTCCTGGAGAGGGACACAGAGCAGGGGCCGCGGGACCGCCAGCCCAGCAACGCCTGGAGGCCTGAGAAGCTGGGAGAGGCAGGCGGGCCGGCCGGCCGAGAGTTGAGGGAGCCCGGCCCTAACGACACCTGGGCTTCTGAGCCCCAGAGGCCACCGGCGACGTCCGGAGCTGGGTGTTCAGGTGTGAGCAGGAGCTCTGCACGGCGCCCCCACCTTCCTGGGCTCAGACGAGGAGGAGAGACGTTCAGCGGGCTGTGGGGGCGTCTGGAGATGCCGCCCAGCCCAGGGGGCCGTCGGAGGCTGAGTCCTGTGGCAGGGAAGTGGCGCAGGTCTGTGCGACCTTGGTCCGGGTGACAACCGCTGTGGGCGAGCAGTGCGCAGGGTGCTGCTCGTCCCTGTTCTGGCGCCAACTGCCACAGCGACGGAGCATGTTGCGGGGAGTGCGGCGCCCCGGGATCTGAGGGTCTCCATCCGGGGCCGGCTGAGATGGGAGCGCAGCCTCTGAATCCCACAGAGCCCGTCCTGGGGTGTCACGGACGCGGGAATGAGTCTGGCCCGGCACGAGTCGTTGCAAATGCTTCTCCGTCTGCCAGGAGAGGGGACTGGCTCTCCCCTCCAGCGGGGAGG